TTCCTGGTCTCCTTTAGAACTCAATTTCCGTGATGAAAACACACATTACTGTATCTCTAGGCAGTTTCCTAAGATGCGTAGTGCTCAGTGGTGGTTGGTGGCAAGTGCCTTCTTCGCAGGACAAGCAGGATTCTCAGTCCCAGCGCTAGCCAGGTGGTGTACACTCCCCTGATGCTTGGTGGTCTCCCTTTCCAGCTGGTTTCCAGTCCATGCTGAACGTGGTGATATGCAGCGTGCCCTTCTAGCTCTGACAGCCTCGTACAAACCAGAGGGAGCAGCTCTGATGCAAATCCGCATAGGTGTGGAGAGGCTGAGGGCTAAAACACCCCGGTAGGCAAATATCCAGTCGCGGGGACTATAAAGACTATTTCATGGCTGGATTAACACAGGTCGGAGGCATCAGTCTAGAAGGAACACACCTTCACTTGGCACTGCCAAATAGCTTGGGTCCCAGTAAATATTCTCTATATAGCTGCCAGAGGAACCTGAATTCCCATGGCGTGCCTGAGGGCAAACGCTGCCTCTGTGATTTTCAGTTCTGATTAGTCTGGTTTTAGCTGTGATGGTCATATGGTATGAAAGCGCTCCGGACTTTGGAAAGCTATCCCTTTGCTTTGGTAAGGAGATGGGGATGCAATCAAGTTTTCCTGGCACTGTCAGTCCTCCGTGACTTGAAGCCTGCGCATTAGATTTGGCGTTTTTCATTTCTCTCTTCTGGAGCAAGTGTAACAGGCTTGACAAAGCTTTTGGCAGCCTTTTTTTTTTTTTTCTTAAAGTTCAGCAGATCACTCTAGGGGCCAATTCTGAATTGGCAGAAGCTGGGACTAGATGACCTAATAGGTCTTTTCCATCTCCAGTGCCTGCAATTCTGTGTTTTATTATATTTCATAGGGCTCAGCTGGTGCTCACTTACGCATCTGTTCCAGGATTTATCCCTCTCAGCTTTTTCTGTGGTCAAGTTTTTGTCTGACAGAAGATGCTTAGTGACACCGGAGTGCCTTCACCAAGGCTCATCCTATCTGTCACATTATTTCTGCTCAACAGACTGGTAGATAAAGACAGTCTGAATTAAGACCCACTGTTACACCAGTAAAAGTGAACAGGTTTTTGTAGCTGGGGAAATGGGAGCCCATATTTTCTGGATTTCTTGGAGTTATACCTTCTCGTGGAAACCTAGGTGCTGCACGTGGAAAAATAATCACTGACGAGCACCCCAGTAACCTTAACTCTGCCCTTGGAGTGAACTTCTTCAGGGTTTTTTTTCAAGGACTTCACATTGATTTGTATTTGTTCTCACATGACTGAAAGATGATACTTTATTAATACTTTTTAAAGCCTTATTTGCAAACAATTCTGCCTACAAAAACCAGGTATCTGAACAATCCGACACAGTTATAGGCACGTGCAGCAATACTACAAGTAATAAGGCTTGTGATATAAAAATTGGCTGTGTGTTCTTTTATTAAAAAACATTTAAAAGGGAGAAAAAATGTGAAAAATCCTTTGAGTTAGATTGTGGGATATAATTTAGTGGGATCAGGAGGAGCAGCCAAGCAGCACTCACCCCACCTCTTCTAAAAAGTGCCGAGGTAACTGTTGCCGAGGGCAGATTTGGCAAGGGCAGGAGAAAGACAGATGTAATGTCTGATCAGAAGTTGCCTTTCTGCATTTGCTATCATCTACCACTTCTGGAAGGGAATCTATCACTCTGGGCTTTAGCCAAAAACTTGGAGGAGTTTTTGGTTAAAGTCTGTTTTCTCCCAGGAAGCAGAATTAAATACTGTCTTTTGCTGAACACAAAACTGGAGTGAATCAGCGTGTGGTCTTGAGAAGGGAGCCGCCCTGGCATTCAGCTGTTTCCTCTCTTTAGAGTCCCTCTGTTAGAAATATAAATAACCGGTCCAGCCTGTGTTTCTGCATTTTCTGGTCAGAACTCATGGTCAGGAGAATAATTACAAAAGTGTTTGGATTTAGTGATCGCCACTTGCAAATATGATTCAGATGTACAGAGTGCGGGTTCTTCCAAATTTTGCTGTTGCGTTTGTCCTTCATGCTGATTGCTAAGGGTTTGCAGTTCGAGGGGACAATGATTTTCTTCATTATCAGTGAAATATGTAGATGTTTTGCACCCTTCTTGAGTACAGTTCGGATAAAGCATATTTAAAACTTTTAAAATGAGCCTAAGCCAATCAGGACCTGACAGGTCATGGCTTTAAAAATATTCTAGCACAACGGGACACATATACTGAGATTCTCTGAATTACTCTCGCTCTGAAAGTTGATTGAGTGATTAATCTGTGTACAGAAATCATCCCGGTTCGGTGATTCATCTGGGCAGCTCCTGCTTTGCACTTTGCAAGCTGCTTTTGTGATGCCTCAGGATTTGGGGAGGAGATCAAATGCTTTTTGGGTTTTAAGCCATGAGATTGTGTGATTGAAGGCTAATCGATGAAAACACAAGTGTCCAGGGAGCAGCAGAGGAACCCCAACAAAGTGATGGGTGCAGAGGGGAGCCCCAACCCGCCTGCCCCGGTGCTCAGAGGTGGACGCTTCGCTCACAGTCCTGCTGTGCAACCCACCCAGGTGGGCCACCGCAGCTGTCCCCAACCACCTCGCAATCTGCAGGGCTGTCAATACCTAAGCAGGAATAGGACTCATTATGGGATGTAAGGGAAGAGCATTTGGGGATTGTGTAAAGTGGGATTTTTTCCGGGAGACTGTGGGAATGTGCAAGATTTTTTATGGGGTGTTTAGGGGAAGGACCAAAGGTGGGAAAAGGGAAGGATCAAAGTGGATTGAAGAGGAGCAAGTATGGGATAACAGAGGGAAAAGGGGGATAAATGGGGTCAGTTGGGTGTAGCCAGGTGTAACCAGGCTGGTCATTTTGCTTGTCCATGCTTCATCAGGTTTGGGAGCCAGCAACCAGGGAGACCATCGGACTGGGACCAGTACTGGAGGGCCTGTAGGTTTGAACCAGCCACTGAAGAGACACGGGGGTCTGAGAGTTACTGCTGGGGAGTGTAGGTCTGGACCTGCTACTGAGTGGGGGCAGGTGGGGAAGGATGTAATGAAGGCTGCAGCTATTGGGCTACCAGATTTGGCAACTCTAACATAAGCCCTATTTGCATTTGATTCCTTTTTCTGGCTGAGTTTGAGTCAAATATATTTCAAAATTGCTTTTGACCATTCAGTGTGTGACCCTTCTCTGGAAATTAATGACTGTGTAACTTTGCTCCCAGGAAAAAAAAGATGACTGTAAATTTGCATACTCAGTATAGAGGTGCTGCCATCTAATCTTGGCCATTATCTCAAAACTGTTTTACAAAAGCTCCATCAGAAAGCTTCCTTCCCTGCAAACTGTCCATTCCTTACCAGCTTTGTAATTAAGGACTTCAGTGGACTGCATTAAAGAACTTTGTGTGCAGCTCTGAAATGCCACGATTCATTTCTCATGGAATTTATTACCTAGGCATAGGGTATAAAACATTATAATGGGCATATTTACTGATTTCAAAGCTTCTTGGCTTTGATCAATGGATATGATAAATGAAAGGGTGAGGTAAATTAGCTAAATGACATAAATATTCATATAGAAAGATAACAGTGAGGGCAGGGCTCTAAATGTAGAACAGGTCGGCCGAAAAATGTTCTTTGCAGAAGAACAGCAAGCCAACAGGGACAGAGGAGTCAATAATAAAATATGGTGGTGTGGAGTAATATGACCTAGTGATCACTCTTGATAAAGATAATTCCACATACAGGGAAGGACATACAGTTCTCTGGGTACAGGGCTACACAATTAAATTTTCAATGTTCACTTCGCTAGTCTGTTCCTTATGCCACAGGACATTTGCTGCATTTTCCTGAGAAATAAATGTTTCAAAGGACAAACGTGTCAACAGAAAAGATAGCTGTTGTAGGAGATGCAGTTTCGAGAGTTACCGGAGAA